CCTCCCTGCAGCAGGTACCTCCCATGACAAGGGGACCTGGGAAAGTCCCAGCCTCAGGCCACAGTGCTCATTCTGGGCATCTCCTCAGATCACAACATCTCCTGGCAGCAGTAGCAACAGCAGTAGTAGCAGCAGCAGCTCTCTAACAGCTGTGTCTGCGGTGAGCAGCACCTCAGCTGTGGACCCCTCATTGTCCAGGTAAGGTGAAGGTCATAGTTGGGTGATGGCAAGGTCTAATGCCAGGTGATGCCAAGCCCTGGTTGTTTTTAGTCTTCCTGCCAGCAGGCCACCTGAGGAGCTGACCTTGAGCCCCAAGCTACAGCTGGATAGCAGTTTGACAATGAGCAGCAGCAGCCTGCAGACAAGCCCTCGAAGCCTCCTGCCTGGCCTGCTCCCAGGCCCAGCTGACAAACTGACTCCCAAGGGGCCTGGGCAGGTACATGTGTGCTTTTATGTAACATAGCAGCATGGAAGGTTGACTACACTCCCTTTTACTTTTTCTGCTGGCCCTGCTCTGCCTTGTGTTCTCCATGTTTCCCCAGAGGCCTTTTGTATTTGCTGAAGACCATCTTTTCAACCTCCCCATCCCTCTCTTTTGCAACTATGACCCTGCATCTCCCTTCCTAGCTTTCCACCTCCCATCACTACCATTACATGTCTTTACCTCTGTGTCCTCCCCCACTGCTTGTCACTTAAGCCTCCATCTTTGGCCCACCACAGGTATCTACTGCTGCCTCTGCACTGTCCGTGGAGCTGCAGGAAGTGGAGCCCCTAGGGCTACCCCAGGCCTCCCCCAGTCGCACCCGCTCCCCTGATGTTATCTCCTCGGCTTCTACTGCCCTATCCCAGGACATTCCAGAGATTGCATCTGAGGCCCTGTCCCGTGGCTTTGGCTCCTCTGCTGCCGAGGGCCTTGAGCCAGACAGTATGGCCTCAGCTGCCTCGGCACTACACCTACTGTCGCCACGGCCCCGGGCAGGGCCAGAGCTTGGTTCCCAGCTTGGCCTAGAAGGAGGCCCTGGGGACGGGGATCGACATAGTACCCCTTCTCTACTGGAGGCAGCCTTGACCCAGGAAGCTGCGACCCCTGATAGTCAGGTCTGGCCCACAGCACCTGACATCACTCGTGAGACCTGTAGCACACTGGCAGAGAGGTGAGGAGCTTGGAAGGTGGAACGTGTGGTTGTAGTAGGGGCCTCAGAATCATCTACTATTCAGTCTGTGCTTGTCCCCTCAGCCCTAGGAATGGTCTCCAGGAAAAGCACAAAAGCCTAGCTTTCCACCGACTACCTTATCACTTGCTGCAGCAACATGACAGCCAGGACACCAGTGCTGAACAAAGGTAAGCACCTCACATACCATTCCCCCCACGGGGAGGACTGGCAGTGGAGCAGGCGCTTAACCTTCCCTCCCTTCCCATAGTGACCATGATGATGAGGTGGCCAGTCTTGCCTCTGCTTCTGGAGGCTTCAGCGCCAAAATTCCCACTCCACGGCTGCCTGCCAAGGACTGGAAAACCAAGGGATCCCCTCGGAGCTCACCCAAGCTCAAGAGGAAAAGCAAGAAGGATGACGGGTAGGGGAGATGGTGGGTCCAGGGTGGGGATCACTTCCTCACATGGACTAACGTGTCTCTTGCCTGTGGCAGGGATTCAGCTGTGGGATCCCGGCTCACGGAGCACCATGTAAGTGATCTAGCACCTTTCTACAAAGGGGACCCCTCCCTGCTAGGATGGGAGGGGCTCTGGGCTCTTAGTCTGGTGTTCCGGGATGGATGGGGCAGGCATCACATCACATCACTTGTCGATGCTCCTGACAGGTGGTAGAGCCCCCTGAGGACTGGCCAGCACTAATTTGGCAGCAGCAGAGAGAGCTGGCGGAGCTGCGACACAGCCAAGAAGAGCTGCTGCAGCGTCTTTGTGCCCAGCTTGAAGGTCTGCAGAGCACTGTCACAGGCCATGTAGAACGTGCCCTTGAGACCCGGCACGAGCAGGAACGTATCCTTAAGGATGGGGACACAGCCATCGGCACAGGGGCAGGCCACCATTCTTTGCCTGGGGAGGAGTATGGGATCTTCTCCAGGCCTGTTCCTTAACTTTAACATAGAGCGGCGTCTAGAGCGGGCACTGGCTGAGGGACAGCAGCGAGGTGGGCAGCTTCAGGAGCAGCTGACTCAGCAGATGTCTCAAGCACTGTCCTCAGCTGTGGCTGGGCGGCTGGAGCGCAGTATACGGGAGGAGATCAAGAAGACAGTGCCTCCATGTGAGTTTTACATGGAGACTTTAGAGTGGGTCAGGGGGCAGTAGGGTACCTGTCAAACTTCCTTTTCTGGTTGTACCTCCTTTTCTTCCCTGTGCCCTAGGTGTCTCCAGGAGTCTGGAGCCTGTGGCAGGACAACTGAGCAACTCAGTCGCTACTAAGCTCACAGCTGTGGAGGGCAGCATGAAAGAGAATATCTCCAAGTTACTCAAGTCCAAGGTGCTACACGGCCCAAGATTAGGGGTGGGAGAGTGGTGGGCTAGCATGGTTGTTCTCAAGACTTTCAACTTGACCCTTCCCTCTCTGTGGCCCAGAACTTGACAGATGCCATTGCCCGAGCAGCTGCAGATACATTACAGGGGCCAATGCAGGCTGCTTACCGTGAAGCCTTCCAGAGTGTAGTACTGCCTGCCTTCGAGAAGAGCTGCCAGGCCATGTTCCAGCAGATCAATGATAGCTTTCGGCTGGGCACACAGGAATGTGAGTAGGGACATATGGCCCAAGATAGGGGGGTTTATTCTCTACCATCTCTTACAATCCTTATGGTCACCCATCAGATTTGCAGCAACTAGAAAGCCACATGAAGAGTCGGAAGGCACGGGAACAGGAGGCCAGGGAGCCTGTGCTGGCCCAACTTCGGGGCCTGGTCAGTACACTGCAGAGTGCCACCGAGCAGATGGTGGCCACTGTGTCCAGCAGTGTTCGGGCTGAGGTGCAGCACCAACTTCATTTGGCTGTGGGCAGGTGTGTGGATAGGACTGTGGGTAAAGTGTGGCAGGTTTGAGAAGGGCTAAACTGGGTTTACCCACTTCATCTTCCCCCCTTTCTTTTGCAGTCTACAGGAGTCAATTTTAGCACAAGTACAACGCATTGTTAAGGGTGAGGTGAGCGTGGCACTCAAAGAGCAGCAGGCAACCGTCACCTCCAGCATCATGCAGGCCATGCGCTCAGCTGCTGGTACACCTGTCCCCTCTGCCCACCTTGACTGCCAGGCTCAGCAAGCCCATATCCTGCAGTTGCTGCAGCAGGGCCACCTCAATCAGGCCTTCCAGCAGGTAGGATACTGTTAGGCCCTAGTAAGAACAGAGTGTCTTATAACAAAGCCCACACATCATACTTTCCATTCCCCCCACCACACTTCAGGCTATCTGGCAGACTGTTCATTCTTGGTTTTCTTTGGCCTCAAGGCTATTGCTCCTTTTGTTCTCTTTTCCTGGACTCTTTTCTTCCTGTCTCAGCCTACCTTGTTTTGTGACAACCTCAGGAAAACTTCTCAGACCTGATTTTCCAGGGTAACAATATACCTCCCTAGTGCTCTTTCTGGATCCCTTTGTATCCCTCAGCCCCCAACTATCTGGCCTTCCTTTGGGCAGACATTCTATCCTAATGTAAGCTATAAATGCTGCCCTGTTCCGCCCCTAGGCCCTGACAGCTGCTGACCTGAACCTGGTGCTCTATGTGTGTGAAACTGTGGACCCAGCCCAGGTTTTTGGGCAACCACCCTGTCCACTCTCCCAGCCTGTTCTCCTTTCCCTCATCCAGCAGCTGGCATCAGACCTTGGCACTAGAACTGACCTCAAGCTCAGGTGAGTAGGAACAGTTAGGGGCCAGAAGATGAGCTGTAGGAATGGGGGCAGGAGGAGAGCAACTCAGTGCTCACTTCTACTTGTGCCTTAACTTCTCTAATTTTCTCTACCCATCCCCTCCACTTTCAGCCTTCCCTTGTCACCAATCCCTCTGGGCTTCAGTGCCACTAGGGGGCACTATCATCTGCTATCACCCAATGTAGCCTGTCTTTTTTTCCCCCCCCATCCCCAGTTACCTGGAAGAGGCTGTGATGCACCTGGACCACAGTGACCCCATCACTCGAGACCATATGGGCTCTGTCATGGCACAGGTGCGCCAAAAGCTTTTCCAGTTCCTACAGGCGGAGCCTCACAACTCACTCGGCAAAGCAGCCCGGCGTCTCAGCCTGATGCTTCATGGCCTTGTGACCCCCAGCCTCCCTTAGCAGCTAAGCCTGCCTTGCACAGGGGTGGGGGTGTCACTGAGGGCCAGCAGACAGACCTATGCCAAGGCCTGCTTATGTCTGCTGTTTACCTGCTCAGGCTTCCACCTTGAGTGTTCAAGGTGGAGGACAAGGTATACTGGCTGTGGTCTACAGATTGTGGTAGCCAGCAGGGTTAGTTTGGGCCTAGGCAAGTATTGTGCTTGCTTGGGTTTTTCCATGCCTGAAGCATGAATTTAAGATCATGACACTCCTTGAGTTGGATTTTCCATGTTCCTTTTTACCTCCAATTTGGATCTTTTTGTTTTTGAAAAACACTGAGAAATTCAATTAAATGCTTTTGGAATAAAATGGTGTATGTGTGTGATTTTGGTTTATCTTTGGTATGACTAACTGCCCTCTTTGTCTCTGTGGGGAGCCCACTCATTCATCTAGCCCCAGATCATTCACCAGGGTCATTTCTGTGGGGACCTAATCATTCTCCCTATTTATTTGTTCAACTTCCTTCTTAGATCTGCTTTCTCCAACTCAGCAAAGCTTCTAGGGCCAGTTTATTACCAGAAACGTGTCTCCACGGGCAGTTCTGCCCTCTGGAATCCCTCCCGAGCGTCTGCCAATCTTTTACTGAGGGCGGAGCTGTTGGCTGGCTTTAGGCCCCGCCTCAGCTTCCATCCAATCATAGTCCCCTCCCTTGGGGGCTGGGCCGACGGGCTGCACTCCAAGTCACTAGATCTGGCACTAGGCTCACAGCCAGGGACCATGCGCTGCTGTTGCTGCCGTTGCTGCAGGTGCCACCGCTGTCGGTGGCTTCCCCAGGCTCTAAGGCTGTTGCTGTTGCTGCCACTTGGTGAGTGCAGGTATCCTGTACCTGACCCAGGCTGAATCCTCAACAGGCTAGGTAACAGGGTTTGGGGGGGTAGAGGGTAAGAGAGTTAGAGATAGCTTTCCTGGCTACACTGATACCAGGGTGGAGAGCAGTTGTGGGGATTTCATCAAAGTGTGACAGTGGCTTCAGAATGGAAAGTAAGATGTGAGCCTGAGTCGTTGAGGAAGGACCTTGAAATTCTGCAGCCCTACTATTGATCAAGGGAGCCCAGAGAGGACTTCCAGACCAGCCATGGGATCCCTAAGGTCCTTGGAGCATCTGGGCTGCATCTCAGTCCCTCTTAGGTTCATCTCAGACACCAGTCTTTGGGAAGGAGGTAGGGGTGTCAAGTAAAGCTGAGAGGCTACAGAGACTGGCCCATTTGCTGCCCATGGTCCCAGTCCTCCAAGCCAATACCCCCCAAGCCCTTCATGATTCTTTCACCCAACCTAATAGGATGCCCCCTCTCCCAACACATACTTGCATCCAAGCCTGTCTTGAAGGGAATCAAGACATGTTATCTCTAGATAGGTCCCTCAGTTCCCTGGGGGTACTTCTTTCACGCTGAGTCACATCCCTAGAGCATTCTCAGGTAAACAAGCTCCTGGGGGCTGGTAGATGGCCTGGCTCATCCTGTCAACCATTTTCCATTTCCTGCCCCCAGTCCTTGTACCTCCCCTAGCAGCAGCTTCCGAGGGGACAAACCGCTGCAACACTATATACCAGGGCTTTGCTGAGTGTCTCATCCGCTTGGGGGACGGCATGAGCCGTGGAGGCGAGCTGGAGACTGTCTGCAGGTACTGGCAGGTGGGAGGCAGTGGGCCGGTGGAAAACCCAGCCCCATCTACATCCATTCCACCCTTAGGATTGGCCTTCTTCCCATTCTGGAATCATTCCCCTAATTCCATTCTGTTAACAGGTCCTGGAATGACTTCCATGCCTGTGCTTCACAAGTGTTGTTGGGCTGCCCGGAGGAGGCAGCTGCCGTGTGGGAGTCACTACAGCAAGAAGCTCGCAAGGCCCCACACCCAAATAACTTGCATGCTTTGTGTGGTGCCCCTGTGAGCGTCCGAGAGCGTGGCATTGGCCCAGAGATCAACCAGGAGACGCTGCGAGCAACAGCACCTGCACCCACTCTGCTTCCTGCACCTGAGCTGCTGGCTGCTGCGCTGGCGCTGGCATGCCTCCTGGGGCCTCTAGCCTAACAAGTTGGGCCTGCCTCCAGCCTTGTGCTGAGAGACCGCCATTCTGGCTCTTGCAGAGTGCTCCATGGTTTTCATTAAAGGTATTTATATTTGCTCTAAGCTCCTTCCTTTCTCCTAGATGTAGCCTGCTTGGCTGGGCTGGGAAGTTCCCCCAGAAGCCCATCCCTAACATGGGATGGGTGGGGCCCAGGGTTGCCACAGGGGATTCAGTCTTCCTCCAGCAAACACTCATTTCCCGATGGCAGTGCTGAGGTTTCCATTACACTCAGGTCCCAAGAGCATCAGTCCTAAAAGCCTCCGGTGGAGACCTGAGATCTGCCGGAATGTACAGCCTGTAATTCCCAGGCTGAGTGAGGTCTGGGAGGGTGGGCATTCTCAGGCCCTGCCTACCGCTCCTATCTTGACCCCTAGGAGCCAGGTGAGGTGGTAGCTAGTTAGCTGTGCCTTTGAAACTGGTGCCTCTCACCCCTGCCTACCCACCCATCCTCCTCCCCAGGCTTCTGCCAGTCTCAAGGCCCCTGATGTCTCATCTGCTCCTCCCTCTGTCATATCACCTCATCCTTAAAGACAAGCTCAGACCCTGTGCTCAGTTCCCCGCTCCTGTGGGGTCTGGTTTATCCAAAGGGGGTCTGGTTCCAGAAGGTGGGGAGCCCCTGTCCAAGTCCATAGTCAAGTCCTAAGTAGGAGCTGAAGCTTCAGAAGCTAGGGTCACAATAAGGGATTTTCTGTCTTCTGCTTATAAACTTGGTTGGTTTTTTTTTTTTTTTTGAGGTTTGTAGCTGGGGACTCAAAACAATCCTGTTTTCTAGAAGCTGGGAGTATGATGTGTGCAGAACCCCTGTTCACTCCAGTGGGAAGGAAGAGGATGCAAGAATCAGTTTAGGAAAAGCTGGGGCAAGAGGAAGGCCTGGGAGTAGGGGGAACTCTATTCTAGGTAGACCAGTACAACTTGTGTGGGCACTGTCATGGTCTCCTCACTGGCTTCTGTTACCACTTCCTCCATTTTATTCTCTACTCTCTCAATAGAAAAATAGATACATATATTAAGCTGTTTTCTTCTTTGTCTATGACATAAACCACGTCTGTTCACTCCTAAATCTCTCTGTAGCAGCACAGAGAAGCTTCTACCTCCCCAGTCCTTGGGGCCAGAAGATGCTTCAGAGAAGTAAAGCAGTACTCATACAGGGGTGAGATAGCAAACTTACAACTGGTGTAAGAAATGTGGGCTGAGGTATAGGAGAAAGAGATCCAAAGCAATTAACTTGGGAGGAGGAAACCAGGTGATCCCAGAACTCAGCAAACCTGTCCACTCTGTAGTTCTCTATTGGGAGGTAGCTGGGCTAGCATCCCCGAGGACAGAGTTGGGCCTGATGAGCTCCTTGCTAGGCAGGCTCTAGGGTGACATGTGTCTCCAAACACCTCCATCCAAGTGTCATTCACGCTTCCTAAACATCTTCCCACTGTGGCTGGCTAGGCTGCCTCCATTAACTCCCTCTCTCTGCCCTGACACTACTTTGCTCCTGTGCTTCATTCACTTTGACTCTTAGACTCATTACTATCAACAGCCCATTACCATCTCACATTACTAAAGGAGAAAGTTCAGAGGAAAAAAAAAATTAAAAAGCTCTCCCAGAACTGCCTTCCTTTAGACACTAGAATTTTCCACAAGGAAAAACAGGACTTTTATTCTTCTGCAATTTTGTATATCTTTTTTTTTTTTGTCGGTCAAGGGGACTGAACTCTGGGACTGGGTGCTGTCCCTCAGCTCTTCAGCTCAAGGCTAAAGCTCTACCGCTTGAACCACAGTGCCACTTCTAGCTTTTTCTGCTTATGTGGTGCTGAGGAATCAAACCCAGGGCCTCATGTATGCAAGGCAAGCACTCTACCACTGAGCCACCTTCCCAGCCCCCTTTTTCATTTCTTCCTGAACTCCTGCCTCATTTTCAGTATCACCCCTCCAGGAAGTATTCCTTAGTCCTGTAAGCTGAAATAAATCCATGTCTAGGTCTACACAGTCCTGGGTTTTCTTCTGTTTTAGTACTGATAGCACTCCCTAGTTATTATCCAGGTTCAGATGAGAATTCCCCAGTGTGGACTCCTCAAAGGCAAGGGGTACTTTGCCTATCTTTTGTGTCTCTAGCACCTAATGTAGGCTAGATGTAAAGACAGCACTTATGGAATTCAGAGATAAAAGAATCTCTAAATCCAGCAAAGGAACTGTTCTAGCACATGAGGTTGGATGAGAATGGTGTCAGTATAGACAGTGTTTCAGCTTGGGCAGACCCCTTAGTTCGGGCATACTGCTGAGAGAGATTAAGTGCTGGAGCTCCAGACCCCCAAAACCTTTCTCAGCCAGTCTTGGTGAGTGGCCAGGAGCAGCCTGCTTCCAAGAGCAGGGGACTGGCTGCTGTGGGAGCCACTGGGGGGATTACCATCCTGCTGTGACCTACTTTTTCCTCTGGCTTTTTGCTCCCTAAGTACCTACTCTTCCATGGAGTAGGGTCAGGAGGGGGATGAGGGAGGGGGAAAGAATCTGCTCTCTGGCCAGGGGCTTAAGGGCTTTGTGTGTTTTATCCCAGAGCTAGAGGAGAGAGGTGGGCTGATAGCCAAGTTGATTGGGTCCTGGACACAGCTGCCCAGGGTAGAGCATCATGGTGATAGTGTCTCACATTTCTAGCTTATTGTTCAGAAGGGAGTCTAGGGGATGGATGTCCTGGGCTACCTCCCTCTTCATTAACACACCTCTTCACTAGCTCCTCCTCATCTCCAAAGCCCAGACCAGCACCTGCACATAGGGCTTGATAAACATGTTCATTAATTTACTGAATGTCTGTAAAAGGAAAATGTTATATGGGTTCCTGAGTGCCATCAACCTTAGAATTCTGAGCCAGGCACTAGTGGCTCACATATACATGTAATCTTAGATATACTTTAGAAGCTGAGGTTGGGATGTTCTCAGTTCCAGGATAGCCTGAGTAGAAAAACTGAAGAGGGATTGGGAATGCAGCTTAGTGGTAGATTGCTTGACTAGCATGTATGAAGTCATGGGTTCCATTCTTTAGTACCACATAAACAGAAAAAACCAGAAGTGGCACTATGGCTCAAGTGGTAGAGTGCTAGCCTTGAGCAAAAGAAGCTCAGGGAGGGCCTGGGAAGGTGGCTCGGTGGTAAGTGCTTGCCTTGTATGCATGAGGCCTTGGGTTCCATTCCTCCACACCAAATAAAACAAAAAGCTGGAAGTGGCACTGTGGCTCAAGTGGTAGAATGCTAGCCTTGAGCTGAAGAGCTGAAGGACAGAGCCCAGGCCCAGAGTTCAAGCCCCATAACCAACAAAAAAGAAGAAGGAGGAGAAGAAGAGGAGAAAGAGGAGGAAGGAGACATAGAAGGAGAAGAAGGAAGAGAAGGAGGAGGAGAAGCAGCGGCAGCAGCTCAGAGACAATACCCAGGCCCTAAGTACAAGCCCCAAGACTGGCGCGCGCGACACACACACACACACACACACACACACACACACACACACACACACACACACACACACACACACACACACACACACACACACACACACACACACACACACACACACACACAAGAAACTCTTATCTCCATGACAAAAACAACAACAACCCTGCCCCCCCCAAAAAAAAAAATTCAAAAAAACTAGTCATGATGATTAGTGCCTGTCATGTCATCTCAGTTGCCAGAGGAAACTTAAAAGAGGTGATTTCAGGCACATGACTGGGAAAGAAGAGAGACCTCTTATCAGAAAAAACGGCAGTAGAGGGCCTGCTTAGCAAGCTTGAGACCCTGAGTTCAAACCCTAATACAGAAAAAAAACAAAAAACAAAACTGAAGCTTACAGACAGCAGGAGAGAGCAACAAATGGGGGTCCTTTTCCATAATAATAAATAGCTGTGTAGCCAGGTGTCAGTGGCTATAATAATCCTATAATCCTAGCTACTCAGGAGGCTGAAATTTAAGGATTGCAGTTCAATGCCATCCTGGGCAGGAAAGTCCATGAGACCCTTATCTCCAATAAACCACCAGAAAACCAGAAAAGACGCTGTGGCTCAAGTGGTAGAGTGCGAGCCAAAGAATGGAGGGATAGGGCCCAGGCCCAAAGTTCAAACCCCACAATCGACAAGAACAAAAATAATAATAATAAAAATAAAAAATAGGTAGCTGTGGAAATGGCAGAGATGACTCCAAAGTGTCTGTACCCTTAATAATTCATTAGACTGGGGGCTGGTGGCTCACGCCTGTAATCTTAGCTACTCAGGAGGCTGAGATTTGAGGATCACAGTTCAAAGCCAGCCAGGGCAGGAAAGTCTGTGAGACTCTTATCTCCAATAAACCACTAGAAAACTGGAAGTGGCGCTGTGGCTCAAGCGGTAGAGTGCTCACCTTGAGCTGAAGAGCTGAGGGATAGCGCACAAGCCCAGAGTTCAAGCCCCACCACCCTGAAAAAAAAATTAATTAGCTTTTGGGGAACTATTTTTTTATTTTTGAGACAAGATCTCACCATGTAGCCTAACTTCAAACTTGAGGGATCTTTTGCTTCCCAAGTGTTAAGCTTACAGAGATGTCTCACTGTGCCCAGCTTGGCAATAATTTTCAAAGTTTTTCTTTTTAAAATAAATCTTACATAAAACTATGCTAGGCAAAACAGCCAAATGATGTTTTACTGATATTAATTTGTTTTTAGGTTTAAAGTAGAACTTAGCTCCATATTCTATGTGAGAGCTCTAATAGAATGTTGAGAAAGTGAATGAAATAGGGGCTGGGAAGATGGCTCAGTGGTAGAGCGCTTGCCTTGCATGCCTGAGGCCCTGGGTTCGATTCCTCAGCACCACATAAGCAAAAAAGAAAAAAGCCGGAAGTGGCGGTGTGGCTCAAGTGGTAGAGTGCTAGCCTTGAGCTGAAGAGCTGAGGGACAGCGCCCAAGCCCAGAGTTCAGGCCCCATGACCGGACCCAAAAAAAAAAAAAGAAAGTGAATGAAATAGATGAAGGAAGGTTACAATGTTTCTATCATTTGTAGCATATTAGTAATTTGGCAGTGAGACAATTAATCTCACATAGAAATCTACTTATTAGCAGGGCGCTGGTGGTTCATGCCTGTAAAAGTCCTAGCTACTCAGGAGGCTGAGATCTGAGTATCGAGGTTCAAAGCCAGCCTGGGCAGGAAAGTCTGTAAGACTCTTATCTCCAATAAACCACTCAGAAAACTGGAAGTGTTGCTCCAGAGGTAAAGTGTTAGCCTTGAGCTGAAAAGCTGAGGGACAGTGTTCAGGCCCAAAGTTCAAGCCCCATGACTGACAAAAAAAGAAAAAGAAAGAAAGAAAAAAAGCAATCTGTTTACTTTTCATTCTTATAGCACACTAGTGTGTGCCCCAGTACTGAACTCAAGGCTTTATTCTTTTGATCAAGGCTGGCACTCCACCATTTGAGCCACACTGTCAGTTTCAGCCTTTTGCTGGTTAATTGGGCATAAGTCTCAGGGATTTGTTTGTCTCTGTTGGCTTTGATTCTTACATCTCGGCCTCCTCAGTTTTTAAGATTACAGGCTTGAACCTGTACTGTACCCAAGATTCATTTTTATCAATCAAGTTACTTGCTGTGGTGATAAGAGGCAAAATTTTAATACATCTGAGTGTCCTGAGTTATTTATGTCGTAGGTTTTTTTTTTTTTTTTTTGGGGGGGGGGTCCGGTTGTGGGGCCTGAACTCTGGGCCTGGGCGCTGTCCCTCAGCTCTTCAGCTCAAGGCTAGCACTCTACCACTTGAGCCACAGTGCCACTTCTGGCTTTTTTTTTTTTTTTTGCTTATATGGTGCTGAGGAATCGAATCCAGGGCCTCAGGCATGCAAGGCAAACGCTCTACCACTGAGCCAACTTCCCAGCCCTATGTCGTAGGTTTTTATTTTATTTATTTATTTTTTGTCCGTGGTAAAGCCTGAACTCTGGGCCTGGGCACTGTCCCTCAGCTCTTCAGCTGAAGGCTAGTGCTCTTCCACTTGAGCCACAGTGCCACTTCCAGCTTTTTCTGTTTAGGTGGTGCCGAGGAATCGAAGCCAGGGCCTCATGCATACAAGGCAAGCACTCTGCCACTGAGCCAACTTCCCAGCCCCTATGTTGTAGTTTAAAAAAAAAAAAAAGTTAAAATTTAAGTCAATCTTTTGCAGAGAATTTGATGCAGTTTCTAGAAATTTGGTTCAAACTCACCGCGTCTCCAACCTCACTATTCGAAATCTCTTTTCCAAGCTGAGTAAGGTGGCGCAAGTAGAGAGGTGGAGGCAGGAAGATCGAGACCTTTCGGGCATGCAATTGTTAGGACCTTGGCTGCAAAACAAAAAGGGCTGGGACGCGGCCCAAGTCCTGGTCCAAGTGTGGTTCAAGTGCGAGGCATAGGATTCAATCCCCTGCAAACCTACCTCCTCCACTTCTCTCCCGCAAGAGCCCTTTTCTTCCACTTAAAAAAAAAAAAAATCTTTAAAGTGTCTAATTCCTCGATCCAGCTTTTTTTTTTTTTAAGTGCAAATCCCTCCCGCAGCAGTCAAGTTCTTTTGAACAAGGGAATCCACCCCTACCAGAGGAGCGTCCCCGCCCGCAAGGGCGTTGATTGGCAGACTACGCTCAGAGCGCTGTCAATCACGTGACCTGGCCCCCAGAAAAGTCCAATCTCGTTTCGCTCGGTGGGCGGTACAGGTTTGTTTTGACGTCTGGCGCGCGCTGTGATGACGCTACGACGCTGACGCCGGAGAATGGCGGCGGCGGCGGCCGTGGCCGCGACCGGGAAACGGTCCGCTGAGCCACGGAGACGCCGAAGAGCCAGCCGCCCGCTCGAGGTGAGGCGGCGCGGCTCTGTGCGAAGGCCGAATGGGCGGGAGGGGCTGACGAGCGGCAGCCGCTGTTATTTCCTGGTATACCAGGGCCCGCCCCTGTGCAGCCCGAAGCCTCGGCCCGAGTGCTCTGGGGCCTACGGTGCCGGGGAGCAGGCTGCTCAGTAGCTTCTCCGGGTCCCCTGTGCCCCAGAATGGCTTGATCTCGAAACCTGCTGTCGTGGTGGGTCTGGTGGACTTGCTCGGATACCCTGCCTGCTGTCTGTTTGTCTCACGTCCATCACTGGTTAGATTGATTTAACCTAGTTGCCCTCACTGGTCTCGAGCGTACTCCACATTTAGGAACTGAACGCCAGGTTACAGCGGGGCAATGACCGCTTCCTGTACTGGTTAGAAAATAAACCTGACTCCAGCTTGGGTCGCCTGCATGGCAAATCTGTCTTCCTTGCCAGGGGAACCCTAGCACTCACTGTCAGTCGCTGAGGTGATCATTCCCCGCTGAAAATCGAAAGTTCCTCTCTACCTAGCACTGGCTCCTTAGTGACTGAAGGATGATGGCTAAACTGTTTAGCTTGTGGCATTCGGGGATCTTCATGTTCTGGCAAAGGCCTAACCCTATAGTTAACACCCGAGCATTTCTGCACTGCCTACCTTTAGTAGTTTATTGTTGAAGCCTGTGAGCTTCCTGTTAGCTCTTGTGGTTTCATGCCCTTCTTGAAATATGCAGTTTTCTCAGTTCCTAATACTCTTTCCTTCCACTCCACCCTCATCCATCAGTATGGAAGACTTACATGTGTTCTTTAAAATCCACCCAAAATTTTCATGGAAAAGCCTCCCTTTATATAGCAGTACTATTTGCTGAATTTTTTGGGATAGGTTACTGATTTATGAATAGATACAGATTCAGCCATATTATCATCAGGTCCAAGATCTGAGGTAACCACTGCAAATTCCTATGTATGGAAGTCCTACAGCCTCTACAATCTTGATGATCTAAAATCTCTTGGGGGAGAGGTGTGTATGTGTGTGTGTGTGTATGTGCGCACGTGTGCACACCAATACTCCCCTTCAACTCAGGGCCTGGGCCCTGTCTCTTTTTTTTGGGGGGGGGGTCCCATCATGGGGTCTGAACTCTGGGCCTGGGCGCTGTCCCTCAGCTCTTCAACTCAAGACTAGCACTCTACCACTTGAGCCACAGCACCACTTCCGGCTTTTTTCTTTTTGCGGATGTGGTGCTGAGGAATCGAACCCATGGCCTCATGCATGCAAGGCAAGTGCTCTACCACTGAGCCACCTTCCCAGCCCCGGGCCCTGTCTCTTAATTGTTGCTTTTTTGTTTTTGGCTTAAGGCTGGCACTCTACCACTTGAACCACATCACATGTTTGGTTTTTCATTGGTTGATTGGAGATTAAGGGTATCATAGACTTTTCTACCCTGTCTGGTTTTAAACCGCTATCTTCAGATTTCAGCCTCCTAGATAGCTAGGATTATAGTCATAAGCCACTGGCACCCAGTATAGGGTAGTTTTTCAAGATAAAAATTCAAGAGCTTAGGGCCCAACGACTGGGGCCCCCCCCAAAAAAAAAAATTCAAGAGCTTTACTGAAAGGTGTGTGTGTGTGTGTGTGTGTGTGTGTGTGTGTGTGTGTGTGTGTGTGTGTGTGTGTGTGTGTGTGTGTGTGTTATATACTGGGGATTGAATCCAGGCACTTGTGCTCTACCTGTGAGCCACACCACCATCCGCCTTACATTTTCTTAAGATTTTGATCCAAAAGATATGATCTGGAGTTGAAATTTATATTTTGGAAAAAGAAAAAGCCCAAATGACGTTGTTGTATTTCCTGGTTGAAGACCTGTGTCATTGCCTCAGGAAGTTGTCTCTTCTGCCCAGTTGGAAGGGCTTTGGACCTGGGTTCAGTTTCTGACTTTTATGAGATCTTGAGGTTCTTGAATCCTAGTTTCCCAACTCCAAAATAGAACTAACTATTCCCACTGCATATGATTATAGATGGGTGAGATAATGCATAGGAGATGCTTAGCACAGTTTAAAACTCTTGTCACTATTATCACTAGTGGCAGTTTTTCCCAGAGTGGATCTCTGGATCTTTGGTTCATGCCTGTAATTCTAGCTACTTGTGAGGCTGAGATTGGAAGGATTGTTGTGATGTGTGCCTATTATTGTAGCTACATGGGAGTTTGTGCTTAGACAGAAAGCAAGAAGACTCTGTTGCAAAAGTTAAGGCTGGAGGAATTTCTCAGAAGTAAAAGTGTGAGCACCCAAGTTCAAACATTGGTACCAGTGAAAGAAAAGCTCATCTCCTTACTCTTCCCCTAGTGCTAGGGATCAATCCTAAAGCTCTAGACATTATGCTAGTCAAATTCATGCTCTACCACTGAGCTACAAGCTCAGCCCCAGAAAATTTTCACATTAATAAGTCTGTTTGCTCTTCAGACTAAGCTAGGTAGGAAGCTATATACTTAATTTATTTCCTTGAGGGCATTTCAGTACTCAAAGAAAGCTCCAATACTACTACTGGCTATTTAGAAAGTTAACTTGTTAGAGGGCAGGTTTGCTGAATAAGTTTGTTATCAAGGCCTAACCTAATTGTTCTTTTATGAAAAAGTTATATATATATATATATATATATGAGTTAGGGAAAGTACAGACTTCAGGAAACCTGTTTGCTGCTAACACTTTTTTTTTTTTTTTTTGCTAGTTCTGGGGCTTGAAGTCAGGGCCTGAACATTGTGAGCTTTTTCACTGTCTCTAACAATATACTTTCACCTCTTAGATTGGCACCTGGAATTGAATGGTCCTGCACATCCTGGTGCTTGTGGAATCTGAAATAGATACTGGGGTTCTCTTTTTCTCTTTGTTAGTTACAAGTTAATAGTTAAATGAATGAGACTTGAATTTGGTCTTCCATTTCACTTTCTAAATGCATCTTATTTGGGCAACTTCAGAATTTCCCAACTGTGTGATGATGTGAGTGTATTATAAGTGTGCATTTCAGAAAAGGTGCTCAATGATGTGGGAAAGGATTGAGGCCTTGACCAGGTGAAGCTGGGCTCAGCTGGACCTCCACTACTTCTAGAGTCTTTCCTATATGGCAAAACAGCCCCAAATGGGGAGCCAAGAGACTTGGGTCTATGCTTGGCCAGCATTGTGTGAGTGGCTTCAGGCAAGTTTCTCTATTTTCTTGGTTTGTCACTTCTGTAGAGTGTCAGTCAGTCAGTAGTGATCAGTGCTCACTTCCATTGCCACTGTCCAGCAAGCTTTGTTTTCCTTGAGAGTATATGTATCAGGATAAGAATTGAAAGTACAGAGCAGACTCTAGAGCATTGGATATGATGTTGGTGAATTGGTACAACTGGTTTAGTGTGATCCTCCTAGAGAACCTTTTCTGAGGCTTTCTCACTCATCCTGCCCATCTATGTTGGCTACGTTCTGGTGGCTTTCATATATATATAAGCTGGGATCAAGAAAAGGCTCTGTCCTTTCCAGGTGTTTTGCCAGCTATAACCTTTGTTTGCCATTGTTTCCTAACCAATATAAGAAGAGAACTTAACAGATATGATTAGAGTGTGGAACAGTGTGATCACTTGTAGGATATTGCCTGTGTCTTCCAGTCTTCAGAGCCAGCACCCTTTCTCTTTGTCAGTTTGTAGACTTCTGGGAATAGGAAGTATCAGAAGTAGCTTACTTCGAATCTTTTCTAATTGGAATAAATGTGACTCTTCACTGCTGACTTCAGATCTTTGCATATGCTTTGTTTAAAGTGAAAACTCAGGACTTTTCTTTTGTGAACCTCAGTTTTTCTCATCAGGGCCAGACCAGAGGTGGTATGCACATTTCAACAAAAAGAACTAGTATATATGTCTAGAGAGAGCAATTTATTTGTGCATCTAGAGTTCTGCTTCCTCACCAGAAAGAAGGGATATCTGAAGAGCTTGTGTTTGTGGGTGAATCATTGTGCTTGATTACCTGTTCCAGTTTGTCTTTCTTCTTAGTGTTGGTTGCTGTTGTTTATTGAGTAGGAATCAGGGGCCAGGGGCCTGTGTTCTGCCTCAGGAGTACTGGACTAATAGCCTTCCCTTTTCTTTTTCTTTTTCTTTTTTGGGGGGGGGTCCGATTGTGGGGCCTGAACTTGGGCCTGGGTGCCGCCCCTCAGTTCTTCAGCTCAAGGCTAGTACTCTACCACTTAAGCCACAGAGCCACTTCTGGCTTTTTTCTTTTTGCTTATGTGGTGCTGAGGAATTGAACCCAGGGCCTCAGGCATGCAAGGCAAGCGCTCTACCGCTGAGCCACCTTCCCAGCCCCATAGCCTTCCCTTTTCTTGAGCTTTAGTCCTTTCTTATGATGAAGTATTAGGTTTTCCTGAAGGAAGGGATGAAACTGCAAAATTCCAAGTCCACAGTTCTAATTATTGGCCTCTGTGAGAAGGAACCTCCTTTCTTAAAGTTTTTGTTTCAGGTGGTCCATGGAGAACCTCCTAGGCATTTGGGTGAGAGCTTTAGAAAGTCCTAAAGAGTTTGTGTTGGTAGATGAAGCCTTTTCATGTGAGGAAAGATAAACTTCATTCTGTTGAGAATTATATTGACACACTGATTAAAATCTGAACTCAATCTCAAAATTCTTTCTATCTGATAGATGAATGGTGTGTGTGTGTGTGTGTGTGTGTGTGTGTGTGTGTGTGTGTGTGTGTGTGTGTGTGTGTGTGTGTGCTGGAGTTCCAACCCAGGGCCTTGTAAATGCCAGGAAGGTACTCCACCACTGGAAGGAAGGTACTAGGAAGGTACCTTCAGCCCCATATCCAGTAGATTGTAATCAAGGTTGTGGATATGTTTCAGTAATAAACAGGGTGATCAGGATTGATCTTACCACCTGAATTCAGGGTCTTGGCTTACTGAAATCTTATGATCTTTGTGTATTCTCTACAAACCCCCCCCCCCCCCAAACTGCTACAGTAAAACCTACTTGGGATACCCTCTGCTTTCTTCAAGGGGTTGGTTGATGGCTTTACAAGGGGCTGAGGAGATGTACTTACTTCCCCTCAGTTACTAGTTAAATAAGTGAGACTTTAGTTTGGCCTTCCATTGGCCTTCTAATGGATGTTCAACTTTTTTTTTTTTAACTTTTAAAAACTTTTTTATTGTTATTATAAAGGTAATATATAGAGGGCTTACCATTATATAAGTCAGGTAAAGAATACATTTCTTGGGCTGGGAAGGTGGCTCAGCGGTAGAGCGCATGCATGAGGCCCTGTGTTGATTCCTCAGCACCACATAAGCAAAAAGAAAAAAGCCAGAAGTGGCGCTGTGGCTTAAGTGGTAGAGCGCTAGCCTTGAGCTGAAGAGCTGAGGGACAGTGCCCAGGCCCAGAGTTCAGGCCCCAGGACAGGACCAAAAAAAAAAAAAAAAAATACATTCCTTTTTGGACAAAGTCACTCCTTCCATCACACTTTACCAGTTTTCCTCCCATCCCCATTCACAAGTTGTATAGTTCATTTTCAACATAGTATCTAGTGAGTACCACAGCTGCATTTGTTCACCCTTTGTCCCTCCATTCTGATCAGCTTTTTCAGACATCAGATTCTATATCCAGTGACTTGAAGTGAATGTCACACGAGCTGTTTCACATTCACTACAGTGTATGTGAACTCTCCTGCCAATTCCCAAACGGGCCTCCTCTTGTACTCCAGATCCTCCTTCTAGGCACTACTGAGTGAGGAGCTGTAGTGCTCCCCTCCCTCCTCCCTCCCACTCCTGATTTCCAGCCTGTAGCACCTGTAAGTTGTCCTACTGACATCTCTCAATTCTACCCTCTGTCTTCCTTCCTTCTTTCCTTCATTTTTTCTTTTTGCTAATATTAGGGTTTGAACTCAGAGCCTAGTGTTTCTGAGGCTTGGTTGCTCAACCAGCACTCTTGCTATTTGAGCCACACAACCAGCTTGGCCTTTTTCTAGTTACTTTGGATATGGAATCTCATAGACTTTTCTACCCCAGTTGGCCTTGAAGAATGATTCTTCAGACCTCAGCTTCCTGAGCAGCTAGGATCACAGACATGAGTCATTGGCACATGGTTCTCTAAATACAGATCAGATCACCTCTCTTTCCTCATAAACAATTTGGTAGTTCTCCTTCACTTCTCCCAAAGGCCCAGATCCTTAACTGAACGAACTTGTGCTGCCTTCTGTAATTGGTTCCTGTTGGCCTTCCAAAGCTTCAGCCCCAGTCCTAGCTTTGCAAACTCAATTGCCTATTTCCAAACATACTTTGAGCTTCTGGGCCTTGAAGTATGTTATTCTCTGTATCTGAATCACTGTTCCTACCTCTAGTTACTTGGCACATTCTTGCTTCAAGATTCAGCAGAGGGGTTACCTCTTGCCAAAGCCTTTCCTACCATTTGCCTCGCTCTGCATGTACCTACTATTGTTTTTTAAGTTTAACAGCACGCTATATTAGAATTACTTCTTTTTCCAGAAATGGTAGCACACACCTTTAATCCCAGTACTAGGAAGGCTGAGGCAGGAGGATGGTGAGTTTTAGGTATAGTAGGACCTTGTCTCACACTGCCCCCAAATAATCTGTTTTTATGTTTTTTTTTTCTTTTTTGTCAGTCATGGGGCTTGAATTCTGGGCCTGGGTGCTGTCCCTCTGCTCTTCAGCTCAAGGCAAGCACTCTACCAGTTGAGCTATGGTGCCACTTCTGGTCTTCTGGTGGTTTATTGGAGATAGGAGTCTCACAGTCTTTTCTGACCGGGCTGGCTTTGAACCGCGATCCTCAGATCTCAATCTCCTGAGTAGCTAGGATTACAGGCATGAGCCAAGAGTGCCCTGCTTTATTTTTATGCTTTTTACTTAGGCAAAAATTTAGTGTCTTGTCAAAATATAAACTATATTGGACCACATCTTATTCTTTCCTACTTTCTTGACATCTGGTAGGTGTTTTGTAAACACTTTACCTGAATTGATCATTCATTACCAATTCTGTATGCCATAATCAATTTTTTTTTTTTTTGCCAGTCCTAAGGCTTGAACTCAGGGCCTAGGCCCTGTCCCTGAGCTTCTTTTTGCTCAAGGCTAGCACTCTACTTGAGCCACAGTGCCACTTCCAGTTATTTCTTTTTATATAGTACTGAGGAATCGAATCTAGGGCTTCATGCATGCTAGGCAAGCACTCTACCACTGAGCCACATTCACAGTCCCATAATAAATTCTTAGCTGTCTTCAAAACGTAGTCCTCAGGTTGACTTAGATAGGAAGGCGGTGGCCTCTAGAAAGCAGTGACTTTAGCACTTTCCCCTCTCCAGGACCCCACCATTACTGGGTATTAGTGGCAAAATTTCTCTGAGAAGCAATTAGTGAGGGCTCTTAGATCCTCATCCCAAGGAAGCTGAGTGCCCTGATAGAGAGCCTAAGTCACAACTGGATACAAATGCTGCAGCACCACATAATCAAAAAGAAAAAAAACCGGAAGTGGCGCTGTGGCTCAAGTGGTAGAGCGCTAGCCTTGAGCTGAAGAGCTGAGGGACAGCGCCCAGGTCCAGAGTTCAGGACCCACGACCGGACCCCAAAAAAGAAATTACTACCATGGGTGCTGTCCTAGCCTTACTTTCTGGGTGGTGTTCACTGTTTTACTCATGCACAATCTCCTCCCTGGCATTTCCAGGGTCTTACAATTCCCTAGCTCACCATAAGGCTGAAATCTCACACAAGACCCAAAGCTGGCTGGAATCTATCCCAGTGAACTTGGGACCACAAGCCTCATTACAATGCCAGTCTGACAAACTAGACTTGATCATGAGGCAGAGGGGCGCTGAGGAATCGAACCCAGGGCCTCATGCATGCAAGGCAAGCACTCTACCACTGAGCCACCTTCCCAGCCCCCCATGGTAGTATTTTGTTGTTCACTGCAGTGGTACCAACCCTGATAGGAAGCCTAGAGGGCTGGGAGAGCCCACTCTATGGAAGCCTTGGAAAAGCAGCTTTCTCAGCCCTGGTGGGTGGTGGTGATGGAGGAGGTCTCTAACATTCTACACTCTTTTCAGAAAATATGAGTCAGAGTAACAAAAGGAGTGATTTTAACATTTAAAATATATAGGACTTCAACTAGGAGAAAGGGGACCTAGGCAGACTAGGGAAGTGAGAGCTGTGATAGATGAATCTCATGCACTTTCCTGTCCCTAACAGGTTTAAAGAGCAACATAGAGGTCTGGGAATGTGGCTTAGTGGTAGAGTATTTGCCTAGCATGCATGAAGCCCTGGGTTCGATTCTTCAGTACCCCATACACAGAAAAAGCCGAGAGTGGCACTGTGGCTCAAGTGGTAGAGTGCGAGCCTTGAGCACAGAGAGGCTCAGGGACAGAGCCCAGGCCCTGAGTTCAAGCCCCAGGACTGGAAAAAAAAAAGAGCAACATAGACTAAGACCCAGGGAGAGTTCCGTCAAGCCTTTCATCTAGAGCCACCAGTAAGTCTGACTCCGTTCTTTGTGTGTGTGTTTGGGGGGGAGGGGTGCGGGTGCATGTACACACTGGTCCTTGGGCTTGAACTTGGGCTTAGGCAGTTTGAGTTTTTTCCCCTCAAAACTAGTGCTCTACCACTTGAGCCACAGCTCCACTTCTGGCTTTTTTGGTAGTTAATTAGAGATAAGAGTCTCATAGGCTTTATTGCCTTGGCTGGCTTCGAACCTTGATCCTTAGATCTCAGCCTTCTGAGTAGCTAGAATTACAGGCATGAGCTACCAACACTCAGCTGGACTAAGCTCTTAGGGACCAAAGCCATCCTTCTTTCCAGGGTTAGGCCTTCAGTTAAATCAGACTAGGCTTATTGAGAAGGAGTGGGGGCAGGATCCCTTCAGGGGGATCCCCAGGTATGCTGACATGCCCTATTTTCTGTTTGCATAGGTGTAGACAGGGCACTGCCTGAGGAGCAGGTCCTGCCGCCCTCACTGGAGAGGATGCCCCTGTGTCCGTGATGGGCTGTGGGACAAGCAAAGTCCTTCCTGAGCCAACCAAAGATGTCCAGCTGGATCTGGTCAAGAAGGTGGAACCCTTCAGTAGTACTAAGAATGATGTGTGCAAGCACTTCATCACAGAAGTGGAAAATGTTGGTCCTTTCAAAGCTGGATTTCCAGCTGCCAGTCAATATGCACATCCTTCCCCCAGTGCCCCCACTAGCGGCCACACAGAGCCTCCCTCAGAACCACCACGCAGGGCCAGGGTGGCTAAGTACAGAGCCAAGTTTGACCCACGTGTGACTGCTAAATATGACATAAAGGCTCTGATTGGCCGAGGCAGCTTTAGCAGAGTGGTACGTGTGGAGCACCGAGCAACCCATCAGCCATATGCCATCAAGATGATTGAGACAAAGTACCGAGAAGGACGGGAGGTATGTGAGTCTGAGCTGCGTGTGCTGCGCCGGGTCCGCCACGCCAACATCATCCAGCTGGTAGAGGTGTTCGAGACACAGGAGCGGGTGTACATGGTGATGGAGCTGGCCACCGGTGGTGAACTCTTCGACCGCATCATTGCCAAGGGTTCCTTCACTGAGCGGGATGCCACAAGGGTTCTACAGATGGTGCTGGATGGTGTTCGGTATCTGCATGCCCTGGGCATCACACACCGAGACCTCAAGCCTGAAAATCTACTCTACTACCACCCAGGCACTGACTCCAAGATTATCATCACTGACTTTGGCCTGGCCAGTGCCCGCAAGAAAGGTGACGATTGCCTGATGAAGACTACCTGTGGTACACCTGAGTACATTGCGCCTGAGGTCCTAGTCCGCAAGCCTTACACCAACTCCGTTGATATGTGGGCACTGGGGGTCATCGCCTACATTCTGCTCAGTGGCACCATGCCCTTTGAGGATGACAACCGCACCCGGCTGTACCGGCAGATACTCAGGGGCAAGTACAGTTACTTGGGGGAGGTGAGTCTATTTTGCCTTTCTTCTAGGGATGTTGGTGAGGGAACCTGTGTGTATATTGGGGGAGTGGTATAACATGCAACTTCATCAGAGGGACATGCGCTGAGCTGTGCTGGTGAGACCCAGGCAGGTAATACGAAAATGGTAAAGTGAGACTAGCAGAGTGTCGAAGGTTTGGTTTCTCCTGAAAGTCAGCTCTGAAGTAAGGGTTTGGGTGCAGATAATTTCCATGGGAAGTGATTCCAGTAGCTGTAAGTTAAACAGTGAAGGTGAGGCAGGAAAAGGAATAAAGCCAGTTCAAGAAGTGGGCTGCCAGTGTGGGCTATTAGAATCCAATCCCATTGGGGACCTTTGCCACAGAATCGTACCACTGAAGTGAAGGTTTTTCTTTTCTTCTTGTTGCTTATTTGTTTGTTTTGTTGGTCGTGGTGTTTAAACTCTGGGCCTGGGCGCTGTCCCTCAACTCTTCAGCTCAAGGCTAGCACTTTACCACTTGAGCCACAGCGCCACTTCCGGTTTTCTGACTGGTTTATTGGAGATAAGAGTCTCATGGTGCCAGGTGCCAGTGGCTCACGCCTGTAATCCTAGCTACTCAGGAGGCTGAGATCTGAGGATCACGGTTCAAAGCCAGCCCGGGCAGGAAAGACAGTGAGACTCCTATCTCCAATAAACCACTAGAAAACCAGAAGTGGCGCTATAGCTCAAGTGGTAGAGCGCTAGCCTTTGAGCTGAAGAGCTGAGGGACAGCGCCCAGGTCCAGAGTTCAAGCCCCACGACCAACAAAAAAAAAAAAAAAGAGTCTCATGGGCTTTCCTGCCCTGGCTGGCTTTGAACTTCAATCCTCAGATCTCAGCCTCCTGAGTAGCTAGGATTACAGGAGTGAGCCACTGGTGCTCAGCTGCTTTTTTTTTTATTATTATTATATACCATATGCGAATTTCTTTCTTTCTCTCTCTCTCTCTCTCTCTCCTTCCTTCCTCTCTCCTTCCTTCCTCTCTCCTTCCTTCCTCTCTCCTTCCTTCCTTCCTTCCTTCCTTCCTTCCTTCCTTCCTTCCTTCCTTCCTTCCTTCCTTCCTTCCTTCCTTCCTTCCTTCCTTCCTTTCTTTCTTTCTTTCTTTCTTTCTTTCTTTCTTTCTTTCTTCTTGAACTCAGGGCCTGGGCACTGTTCCCAAGCTTCTTTTTGCTCAAAGCTACCACTCTACCAGTTGAGCCACAGTGCCACTTCTGGGTTTTTCTTTTTTTTTTTCTTTTTTCTTTCTTTCTTTTTTTTTTTTGGTCCGTCCGGGGTCTTGAACTCTGGGCTTGCGCGTTGTCCCTGCGCTCTTCAGCTCAAGACGAGTGCTCTTCTGCGCTCTATCGCTTGAGCTACAGCACCACTTCCAGTTTTCTAGTGGTTTATTGGAGATAAGAGTCTCATGGACTTTCCTGCCCGCACTGGCTTTGAACTGCGATCCTCAGATCTCATCCTCCTGAGTAGCTAGGATTACAGGCGTGAGCCACCGGCGCCCCGCTGGCTTTTTCTTTTTATATGGTACTGAGGAATCAAACCCAGGGCTTCATGCATGCTAGGCAGTTACTCTATTAAGCCACATTCCCAGCCCCAAGTTGAGAATTTCTTTGGGAACATTAAATCTTCTGTTGCATCTTGGCAATCCTGAATGCCAGCTAATGCTGGAGAAAGTCCTCAGGTAGAGAGGCAAAGAGATACAGGCCCTGGGAATGGGAAGCTGTTTCTAGGCACAGCAGTTTCAGGTCAGTTCAGAGCTGATCAGAGGGACAAGGTCTCCTCAGCATCTATTTTATGGGGACAAGCCAGAGTAAACACACTCCATCTCAGAGCGGATTCCTTCTCATCTCTATTTGGTTCTTCCATGCAATCATGAGCGCCTCGGGTATCCATATCTTCCAGGTTTTTTTTGTTTTTGTTTTTGTTTTGTTGTTGTTGTTTATCCATCGTGGAGATTGAACTCTGGGCCAGGGCTCTGTCCCTCAGCGCTTCAACTCAAGGTGAGCACTCTACCACTTGAGCCACAGTGCCACTTCTGGCTTTGAAAGGTGATCCTTAGATCTCAGCCTCCTGAATAGCTAGGATTACAGGTGTGAACCACCAACACTTGGCTCTTCCAGTTTTTTTAAGAGAAGTCAGACCTGAGCTTAAATGTTGGAAATCTAGTTCATATATTTAAGCAGCACCATGTGCCAATAAAAACTAGCCAATGGCTCATATTGAACCAACAGGCCATCAGCTTGCAGTAATGGTTCTGATACCTGCAAAGATCTGACAGGTTTAAGCCCTGGTGGTTGCCAAAGGAAGGTGCAAAAAGACCCAAGCTTTTTTTGCTCAAGGTTAGGTCTCTATCACTTGAGATACAACTCTGCTCTCTGGCTTTTTGGTGGCTAAGTAGAGGTAAGAGTCTCAAGAACTTTCTTGCCTGGGCTGGCTTTGAGTTGTTATATCAGCCTCTTGAATAGCTAGGATTATAGGCATGAACCACCAGTGCCTGGCTGCATTAGACTTATTTCCAAAATAACCAACAAAAAGTCAGATGATAGATGTGGCTCAAATGGTAAGAGTACCTACCTAGCAAGTACAAGGCTTTGAATTCAAAGGGAAAAGTGCAGATGGTGATAGAGGAATAACTTAGAAATGAGCCCTTGATGTTCATAATACTCTCCCCTCAGTATCATAGAGGTAATGCCCTGATATTTACTTGGTTCTCAAGTGTGGATAGGAAACAGGATAGTAGTATAATTCTGGTGGTTTAAACTGATGATAAGTCTCTCCCAGTGCTCCAGGACAGAGCTGTAAAAGAAGTTGGTGTTGTCTGTTCTACTGAGGAGACCCTCTGGTTATGAAGTGAGTGATTGCAAGGGGTGATTGCTGTGTTGTATTTCTGTTGGTTGTCTTTACCACTATAAAAAGGTAAAGAGAAGCCAGAGCTCAGATAGAGAGAGGTAGAGGTTAGTACTTCTAAGACTATTTATTTTTGGTGCAGGTCCTGGGGCTTGAACTCAGGGCCTGGGTGTTGTCCCTGAGTTTTTGTGCTCAAGGATAGTGCTCTAGCCGGGCGCTGGTGGCTCACGCCTGTAATCCTAGCTACTCAGGAGGCTGAGATCTGAGGATTGCGGTTCAAAAGCCAGCCCGGGCAGGAGAGACCGTGAGACTCCTGTCTCCAATAAACCACCAGAAAACCGGAAGTGGCGCTGTAGCTCAAGTGGTAGAGCGCTGGCCTTGAGCTGAAGAGCTGAGGGACAGCACCCAGGCCCAGAGTTGAAGCCCCATGGGACCGACAAAAAAAAAAAAAAAAAAGGATAGTGCTTTACCACTTTGAGCCACAGCCCCATTTCAGGGTTTTTGGTAGTTAATTGGAGATAAGAGTCTTATAGACTTTCTTTCCCAGGCTGACTTTGAACCGTAGTCCTCAGATTTCAGCTCCCTGAAGAGGTAGAATTACAGGCATGAGCCTATAAAAATCATAAAAATCCCCTGGGATTTTAAAATAGAGATTTGAATCCAGTAGGTCCAGGTGGAGCCTGAGAGTTTTATTCTGTCAGGTATCCAGGTAGCGTTGGTGCTATGGACCTGCAGACTACACTTAAAGGAACAAGTATTAGCTGGGTACTGGTATCTCAACTGGTAATCCTAGGTACTCAGAAAGCTGAAACTTGAGAATCTCAGTTCAAAGCCAGCACAGGCAGGAAAGCCAATAAGACTCTTATCTCCAATTAACCACCAGAAAAACAGAGAGTAGTGCTATGGCTCAAAGTGGTAGAGTACTAGCCTTGAGCAAAACTGCTCAGGGACATTGTCTAAGCCCCAAGTTAAAGCCCCATGAAAGTCCAAAAAATAAAAATAAAAAACAAAAAATTTAAAAAGGAATAAGTATTGAGACAGGTGCCATAATGATGGCCTGAGATGGATTATGGACTTCAGAAGATATCCAGGAGGCAGGAGACTGGGCAAAGTAGAACTGCATGCACATAAGTACAAGAAAGAGCAGGAGGCAGTCTCTTGGACAGTGGCTCATGGAGCAGGTTCAGCTATAGGCACGATCATACAAGTTCCTGTAAGGGCACTCAGAAAGTTCAGCTTTCTGAGTAGGAAGCTCAGAGAACTATGTAAGGTTGTAGCTAAAACTATTATCTTAAGATAGATCCCTGAATGCCTGAAGATTGGGAGGCTGATAGTGCTTCAGGAATTCTGGCTCCTAGATCTCTGCATGATGCCACACTGTTGAAAGGTCTAGATATTACTGACCATTATGGCTCTTGCCTTAATACTTGCTCCTGTAAGTGTCCTCTGCAGGAATATGCAGGAGTATGCAAGTATAGTTAGAGGGAGGGATAAAGGTTTCCTAAACTGCTGACAAAGGAAAGACTCTTGTACAAAAGTCTATAGATTCATCCAAGAATTCCTATTATGGCAGATGTTGATTGGACAGTTTATCTAATTGGAACTTGCAGTCTTATAAACTGGCTATCTATAGTGGGGAATGACAGATGAATGGGGGAAAGATTAAACTCAGGCTTATTGTTCCTACTGAAGCTAAAAGACTGGGTTTAAAGATTATGTTCCTCTGCTGCAATTAAAGAGGCATACGTTTGCGGCTCCCGGTGTGAGTGTGTCTGGGCACTGACCCTGAGCTTTTGTGCTCGACTAGCATTCTACCACTTGAGCTCTACTTATGGCTCTTTGGTAGTTAATTGGAGATAGGAGACTCACTGACTTTCCTTACTAGGCTGGCTTTGAACTGTGATCTCAGCTCTCAACCTCCTGAGTAGCTAGGATTACAGGTGTGAGTTACTGGTGTCTGGCTCCCTGCAGTCTTTGTCTAAACCTCAGTTTAGTAGGTTGTACTGGAGCATTTGTAAATAGTAGCTGTGAAGAACTGGCTTCTCCTGAGGGAAGCAGCTGTGTTTATTGGTGATGCCCTGGTTATGTCCCAAATGCAACTGTTGGCAGGCAGATGGGGCTACCAGCCAGTGGGGAGCACTTTCTTCTG